TAAAGATAAGAATTCACTTTTAGGATAAAATTTAATTTACAAACACCATCCTATCTTATTGCAAATCCCATTTGCCAATCTTTGCCAATCTTTCTAAAAACAACACAGAAAAAGCGTTTAGTTTCGATTTTAATTATTGCGTATTTTTCATGCTTCTGAATATATATATATATATATATATATATATATATATATATATATATATATATATATATATTGCTTTTTTTTACAAATGTTTGATTCTGACGTCGCACTGCGAAATCACTAAAGATCTCGACGGTAAATGATACATGCGAGAATAAGTTTTCGTAATATCAAGCTCTTAAAATCATTGGCTCATAGTATTTGGTCATTTTCCTTTCGACTGTTTCATGCCTTTTAATAATGAAAATGAAATTAAGAGTAATAATTTTATTCAGGATGATCTCTCTGCCGTTTCACTTTCATGTCATCGTCGATCAGGCCGCTCCACAGTTTCCAGTCTTTTTTATCTCTAAGTAGAGTGTGTCATTTTGCTATCTATCCTAAATACTGATCTTAAAATTTGATTGATTTCTGTGTTTCTATATCGTCGTTCGCATCTTGCTGTGTTCCTTTCGCTGATGTCCAAACATTCAGTCTTTTTTACAACTGAATATTTATCCTTTCTTCTCGCTTATTTTTTTCTTTCTACCTTCTGTAGGAGTTCCTCTAGTTGTCTTACTGTTATGGGACCTCACCCATAATAACATAATGGACTATTCCATACGTAATAAATACTGCGCCGCAAGAGGAAGCAGGGAGTTCAGTCCGAACTCTCTACTATCGGGCGGGGAGGAACCAGAACGAGGCTACGCCGAAGGGCGTATTCTCTTTCGGGGAGGTAAACACGGCACCCGTTTATACGGGTTCAATGGGCATATTTTTGGCAGAGCCCACGGGGTCGGAGATCCCAAGTTAAAAAGGTCTCGTGCCACATGACACCCTCGTGGGAGGGTGACTGAATATCGTTCAGTCCGAAGTCGGACGTCCGGCTGATCGGCTGATCGGTTGAACTCTCTACCTTCGAGCGGGGAGGAACCCGAAGGAGTCTACGCCGAAGGGCGGTTTCTCTTTCGGGGAGGTAAACCGATCCTGAACCCGTTTATACGGGTTCAAAGGGCATATTTTTGTCCGAGCCCACGTGCTCGGAGATCCCACGTTAAACCGGCCTTGTGCCACATGATTCCCTCGTGGGGGGGCGGTGACTAAATACTGTTCAGTCTGAAGTCTGGAGTGAAGTCCGTCAGGAGTGTGTCAGTCAGTCAGAGCGAGTCAGTCAGTCGAGTCAGAGGCAGTCCGAAACAGAGTCGCATTCAGACAATTACTACTAAACCTCATTGTTCGTACTAACCGTCTACTTCTCTGTATATATTCCTGTTCGTAATATATCTGTGTTATTCCATATCCGTGTTCGAGTTCTTCTTTATTGGTTCTACCTTGGACTATCATCGTGGTACAAGGAACCGGACTATAACACTTACTGTGTCTCCAATCGATACTGTGTCATCTGGTATATCACACGATATTGCAATGGTGATCCCAAAAAGCAATCTATTTATTTTTTTACTTCAAATTATTTCTAGTAGGGTAACGGATAGCAGACCGGTTTAAAGAATCGGAGAATCGAATTCTTGTCAGATTCATTACATCCACTAATACCCTCGGGTAAGGGTATGAATCCTCTTTTTGCTGTAGGCAAATAGCAGGACAGACTACGTTCGATAGCCTTGGGTTGCAACCGGTCTAGGTATAGGTAACTCTTAATTCAAAACCCAGCCTGCAACTACATTACATATAGTACACCTGCGGATGAAGTACATGTAGTACCTCTACGACCCGGATGGATGACGGGATTCACGATCGCTTCCTTGTCAATGCATTTAATTCAGGGATAAATATTAATTATTTAGGGTGAAAATTATCCAAGAAAGTTTCATATAAAAGTGGTCAGATTACGGTCTTAATCATCCAGTCTCCAAGAAAAAAAAATGTATGTATATACAATTTTACCGAGGAAAAAAAAATATATATATACAATATGATAAATTTAATTGTTAATCCGTATGAATGATTCAAGGGAGTAAACAGAGCAAGTAATAATTAATTAACAAATCGAAGACTTCAGAAAGCACGGTGATATTTTATTTCGAGAAATCGATAACTCGATTTCGCTTCATCAGACCTGGCGGTTTCAAAACAATGAATGGATTCAAAAATTCTTCCAGGTATAATCCGAAAAATGAAAAACAAGATAGTGTTTTAAGATAGTTCTTCAAAGTAGGAAGGGAGGGAGAGAGGTATATGATTCTAGGAGATGCGATAGTTGTAGCGTTGACCTCTTGTTCACCAGACAACAGTAGGAGGTGGAGATGATTCTTCAAGAATGGAACAAAGAAAAAAAAAGAAAAAGAAGTGAATAGGACAAAGAAAAGGAGAACCAGAGAACGTACACAAATCCCTATACCCCCCACACACACAAACACACACATATATATATATATATATATATATATTTTTTCGTCTTAAAAGACGTACATTTTAATAAAAAAAATTACCCTGAAAAATAAGTGTGCGTCTTCCAAAACGAATGTAAGGCAGATCCCAGGCTCAAGTAAGCGTGGACGGTCACCAAATTGGCTTAACTGATAGGGACGTGGATTTATATATTGAGTTATTAAACTAAAACGTTATCTATCTAATGAATCCAGCAGTGACGAGTTCTTGGGATTTGAGGATTAACAACATTTCTTTGATTGTTTTACATTTTCACATGGATATTTTTTTTTAAATTCTTAATTCATTTTTTATGAATATAAAACCACCTTTGGATAATGAAAAACATTTAGTATATTCACTGACCACCAACAAGTATGTCATTGGTATACAAACAAAATCCGACGAGTGATTAATGCAAGCAACAATACATGGCGCCAGTATGTGAGGGACGCATGGTGAATGTGTTGTTTTATGAAAATGATTTTTTTTACATTGAATATTAGGGTGCGTCTTCCATGCCGCAGCGTCTTGTAATCCGGAAAATTCGGCATATATATATATATATATATATATATATATATATATATATATATATATATATATATATATATATACGAATTTAATTTCTGTGGCTCAGATTTATTATCATATTTTTGCTTAGATATGTAAAACGTGCTTACGTACGACGCTCTTTATGTGCCTCTTTTTATTTGAGATATTGCAAGGGTAACACAAAAGGCGAGAGACAGATAAATCGAGAATGAGGTGTCTATGTGAGCCATTTATTTGAAAAAGAGATAGAGATCAAAACTGGGTAAAAGATATATTGCCGCCATGTTTATATCAAACCGTGATGTTCCTCCCTTGTTCATAATCTCGAGTTTCTTTGCGTTAACTCATAAATTTTCACGAGGAAATAGCCAAAAAAGAAAGAAAGACCCGAAGCGAATCGATCGAATGTTGATAGGAATATTTGAAAGGTACTTGGAACATGAGCTCGGCAATTTGTATTTTTTCTTATTTCTGAAAAGGAATTTATTTTATCTTATCAATTTAATTCATGTGTTTGTTGTTCGTTCTTTTATTGGAGTTCGTATCTTGTAATGTTCTTAGAAATCCTTTGCGTATTCATATATTTCCCAATTGACATAATCAAATTGTCTTTCTTGATCATGTCAGCCTCTCTTCCGACATATCTATCAAACTTAATTATTCTTTTGAATAACATTTCAGGCTGGTATATTTTGCATTCTTTTCCTTCCGGTTGTGTTTCAAGCGATCGAAGATATTATTTGCCCAAGCTTGCTATGTTATTGTCCTTCAATCTGAGTATTTAGAATATCTATCTACATATATATATATATATATATATATATATATATATATATATATATATATATATATATAAAGAGAAGATAAGTCTAGTTAAAGATGATTGACAAGGTATTGGGATTAAGCTTTTTATTTAAGTTTTCTGGGCATAAGGTGTATAAAAATATAGCTCATTGTGATCATATTCATAGCTGACGTTACTGAGTGTTGGCTTTTTCGTTTTTATTATGAGTGCTTCCATTCTTTATAGTCTTTATTAAAAATGTGAATGAGGCTATTATTTTGCGGGTGAGGAACTTGGTAGGCTTCTGTGTAAGTGTAATAAGTCCTAATTGAGTTATATATATAGTTTCATATATATATATATATATATATATATATATATATATATATATATATATATATGAAACTATATATACACACACACAAGTGATAGATATTTTAGGAGATTTGAGTCTAGAACAAGAATCCTCAACAGAATGCAGAAGGTAGTGGATGGCCGTTTCGTTCTTTTTGGGAATCATTAGTAGTGCGCATGCGCTACTGAGAATCGAACTCGGACTGTGACATTTTACTGCAAGCGTCAAACCACTGATGACGGAGAGGTAAATATCTAGACTCAGTATATATATATATATATATATATATATATATATATATATATATATATATATATATATATATATATATATATATATATGTATATGGTATATATATATATATATATATATATATATATATATATATATCCGAACGGGTAAATATAGGTAGGTATACGAGCGAGCAATCTTATACAAATAAGAAATAGTGCTCAGTTTAACAAACAAAGCTGTTTAATATAAATATTAAAGAATATACATATATTACATTAATTGCACAACTCCTAGTTTCATGCCGAAGTAATTTTCAAGTGCTGGAAATGTTATATTTAATTTCATCTCTATTTTGTATTGACATTGGTTTTTTAAAACATATTTTGATTTACCCAAGATATATTATTGTTGGGGTTGAATATTATTAGAGTTAAAATATTTAAATGAATTGTAGTTTAATTTTGAATTTGAAATTAAGCCCAGATTATCGTTTTAGATTGAAAATAAAGATTGGAAATAAGAAATATAATTTCTATAATTAGGAAAACGCTGGTTTTG